TACACATATTTATCCACAGGGATTTCCATACATATATTTAGAATTAAGTTTTAATATTTGAACTTTTTAAGGTAAATATATCCATTATATATATTCTTAGTTAACAGTTTTTCTGTATAAATGCCAACAAATGTGGCTTTCAGGTTTTTTCTTCTTTTTCTTCCTTTCTATCATTGTTTTAAATTTTGGACCACTTATTTTATGAAATAGCTTTTCAATATCTTTGCTTTATTGACTATTTAGAACCTTTAATTTGACAGGATACCTTTAATACCAAGAGAGATATCAAGATAATGAGATAAAAGACAAATCATAATATCAAGTATACTAATTCATAATTCCTACTGTGACTTGCAAATGGAAGTCCTTCCTCTGTCATTACCATCATAAACATTGATGAAGCTGAAGTCTAATCTAACAGAGGAAAAAGTCTCTCTAAAAAAGTTTACCCTCAAGGAAATTTCCATGTCCAAATGGCTTTAGTAATCAATACTTCTGAATATTAAGGAAGAATTAATACTAATCTCACAGAAAATCTTTCAGGCAACAGAAAAAGAGGGGGCACTTCAAAGTCGTATTACCCACTCCAGTCACTACAAAGAAAGAAAATTCTGGATTAGTACTCTTATAAACATGAATGCAATACCTCAACAGGACAAAGAAAATGAATCAAGCACTCTGAAGAGAAGATAACTCATTATAGCGAATATGATGCATCTCAACAGTGTAGGCTAGATGATCTTAATAGATTTACAAAAAAATAGAATTATATAATCACTCTTTATTTCCTAAAAATGATCTCTGAAGAAAATTACCTTAGTTTTGTAGAGATTTATAACAAACGTGGTCACAAATTGTGTGATGAACAAAACTGAGAATTTGGATTTAAAACTCCTTGAAACCGAGTAGGTCAATGGTTGCTTTAGCAAATACAGTTTGACAATGTGTGTTACAACAGCAATTAGGTAGTTTCTTGGTGCTGTGAGTTGACATGTAACAATTACAACTTTAGCAATTATGAAATCCTGAACAGTTATACCAGGTCCATTCATAAAGCATAGCCAAGAAGTTCCTAGATGACTCTACAGACTAGACATTTAAGTCCCTCGCTGAACCGCTCAATATTGCCTTCCCTTTTGATGCCCCAAGAGTTGGGGAGGGGGCAAATGTTGCTTTTCTAGATTTCAGGTCCACAATATTTGGGTAGATGCTTTTGTTTCACAGCATTATGCCACAGTCTTTTCGTCAAAGGCAATTAAATAAAATTGAATTTGTAGTACATCTTAATAACAAACATCGTAGTAAGAATTATTGAAATCTTTCACATGCATTTTGCCCATTACTACTAATTTATTCAATAGTGATAAATAAACCTGGGCCATGCCTCGCACTGGTTAGCACCTCTGTACCAGAACAACAGATGAAAAGAAAAGTTCAGATAGAGTGGGCAAGGAAAAAGAACAGGGAATTGTAGATGTAATCATAAAGTAAAGGTATGACTCTCTTCAAGTTCAGAAAAAGAACAGGGAATTGTAGATGTAATCATAAAGGTTAAAGGTATGACTCTCTTCAAGTTAAGAAAGATACAGGCAGCAATTCCTTACATGCACTGTCAAAGGATGAACATACAAAAATGAATGCATTGAACTATACCAACATTTACAAGTTTTCTGTTTCAAAATGTATCATAAGAGTGAAGGAAAAAAACACGGCTGTAATAGTGGAAAACTGTAAAGTACTAGTGCAGTGTCCACTACTAAGACAGTTAAGGTATATTATTAGAATGGAACAACATCTTGTCATGAGAGTGGACACAATGCTCTGTCTCCAAAGGGTGGATGCCTCTCAGAAACTATACATTGAGACAAAGAACTCACAAACATTGGAGAGACTACAGTGTGCTTCCATTATAAAATATTACAAATTCACTGAGCGTGTGAATTGTTTAGAGCACTACCCCCAGCATGTGTGAGTCCCTGCGTTCCATTCTTTCTCTGCAAAAATTTTACAATTAAACATAAGAAAAACTATCAAAATTAGGTATGAGGGACATGCTATCTTTGGGAGGCCAAGTAACAATGAGGACAATGATAATAATATGGTTTGGTACAGTTATGCTATGTTTGATCAAAGTATATACTTAGCATTGATGTATGTTGTATTTGATACAGTTTAATAAATTTTTAAGAATAAAACATGAAGAACATATCTACATTATGTACATGGGAAAATCTCTTACATAAAATGTAACGCAAAAAGGTATATGACAGACCAATATGTGAAAAAAGGTATAATTCATATAACAACAAAAAAGAAAGCAGAGTATTTCTGTAAATGCATTTATAAAAATTCTGAAAGATGGTCAATTATCACTTACATTTGTAGCTATGGGAAAGATTAGAGAAATGAAAACAAAATACTTGCACACCTTCCTTTGAAAATGTATGATGTATTAAGAATATTTTCATTCAATCTCACTGACATACAATCAAAAACAATTATTTCTCAAAAGCTAAATTACCTTAAATCAGGTGAGAAACAGTTGTTTCAATGGCAGTATGAAGAAAATCCTTTACATAATAAGCTGTTAATATTATAACGGGGGGGGCTGGGGGGAGGGCACGGGAAGAGGGGAGGGAATGGGAGAGGGACCTGGAACTGACTTGTGAAGCAACCTCGTTTCTTATCTAAATTTAAACTGGAAAATAAAATATATAAAAAAAACTTAAGTTCACTGATATGTGTCAGGCATGGTTGCTGGCAGCAAAGCTGGAGGGGCAGAGCCATTTCGCCTTTTATTACCAGTCAAGGAGTCACAGGGTTGTTGTTTGTCCTGTTAGGTTTTTCCTTGCTTTGGGCCAGGGTTCCTTCACTGAGGCCCAACTGCACTATTCTGGAACGGCAATATATATTCTTTGCCAATTTATACTAGAAGTATAAAATTTGCTTTTGTATTTTATCAGTGGTTACAGTTAAGAGATTACCATGAGTCTTACGACTCTTTGGGTTTGTAAACAGTGTTGAGACTGAAAGACTTTTGGGACTTAAAGCTAGACTAAACACAAGCCTTTGGGAACCAGGGAGTGGGTTGTGATGGTTTGAATAAGAAAAATACCCCAATGGATCAGGTATTTGAATACTGGGCACCTAGTTTGTAGTGCTGCTTGGGGAATGTAACAGAACCTTCCAGTGTGTCCTTTCTGGGGGAGGTATATCACTGGGGGACAGGCATTCTGCTTTGAGTTTATACAATTCTCCACTTCTGACACCATCTGTCAGTCCCCTGCTCTACTGACATGCCTGTCATTTGCGGCCATGCTTTCGTTCTATGATACTCTTAGAATGCTTACAGTTTCTGCCACAGGCTGTTTTTCATCATGGTGTTTAATGTGGCAACAGAAAACTAGCAAATACATATACCAAGATTATACATGATATTTACTGGGGATGTATCTTACACGTCTATGTAGGACTGAGTCTTTTCTACCATGGAATCATTCTGAAGAAAATTGACTTTTTTAACCACAAAAGAGTTCTATTTTTTTCAGATAATTTTAATGAATAAAAATGGATAAGAAACCTATACTGTATCATGTATATGCTTCTATATATTTAAAGGGACTGTGATGCCTCAGGAAGGTTTCCTTCAATGGTGTTTGTTTAGAATAAACTTCACACATTCAGGTAGTCAACAGAATTCACATCTTAAATTGAAATCTAAACTTATGTTACAAAGATACACAGGACAAATAAATTAATTCAGTTGTATTTTTACCCAAAGGTTTAAAACCATTAACTCACCATTTCTATTCCCCTCCTCAGAAGCACAAACTAAATGAAGACACACGACACTAGTTATATATTACCACAAAGGGGGCAATGTTAAATTCTATGGCTCTGTCCTTCCAATGAGTCCTAATGCAATTTAAGATCTGGTGGTAAAGGAGACATAGTATCCTCCTGCATGGCATAGGATCACTGTCTCATCATAGAAAATCTAGGAGATGAGAATCCTGGAGAGCAACAGAGCACACTCTGCACAGCTTCACACACAACTTCATCAGTAAACATGGCTTCGGTGCAGACTGATCTAAGAGCTGCCCAGCAGACTTTTTCTTATTAAAGAGAACATCTTGTCAAACATTCTCATTTTCACAGCTAAGGAGAATGGCTGCACAGCCACTAAATGAGGCCTTCCATTAAACAGTACACCTCAGCTCCAGCAAAGAAAGTTCAGCAGTGTTTATCAAGAAATGTTAAGTGCTGCACACTCTTCACCCTCTCCTAAATGCTACCTGTGACATGAATTTACTCATGCAATCATCCTCACAGAGTGTGTGTGAGGGGAACGCTCCGAAGTGTGGTACCCAGATTAGGCTTTGCCACCCTGTACCTTCCATTCTCTGCAATGGGTTTATGGATTAAATGCATCAGCCTCAAACATGTCACGAAAATTAATACAATGATATAAATTCAAAACAACAAACTCACTGTGTTGACACATATCAAATAAAACTGTCAGATGTGAATTTTTTCTTTTATGAACCTACAAAAAATAATTCCCTTTTAAAAACAATACAAAGAAAAGCATTCTATTTTAGTATTATTCAAAATGGTAAAACACAGTAAATATTTGGTACCAATTATGTATCTTAAGACTTCCAAAAAGACAAAACCAAACAAACTTCCCCCAACAATTCCTGTATTTCCATTTTACATTAACCTTAATTCCAAATTATACAGAAACTTAGAAAACCACAATATCAGTTTTTTTTTATCCTCATGCATATACTCAAAATGAAATGTGTATGACTATTCTCTTTGGAGAACTAGGCAAAGGATGATTTTGAAAAGTTCACCCTCCCCATCCACACACTGTTTACTTCATTTGTGACTTTACATGTTTATAACTAAATCACTGACCCCTCTTCAGTGCATATTAGTGGCCTGGGATTATCAATGCAGTAGTAGACAATAGCTTTGTAAGTTAGGTTACATACCCAAAGCTGCTACTTTGATGATAATAGCTTCAATGTTAGATGCTATCATCTCTCGGAGTAGGTCTTCCTGGTTTCTCTGCCAAAGGTAAGCTAAAAGTTTCAGATTAAGCCGTTTACATCTACAATGTAAAAAGAAGAAAAACAACAAAATAAATAATATAGTTATATTCCATATTATGGTCCCCAGCAATTTGATTTTAAGCATAGTGCTTCTTTCAAGGATTTTAAGAATTAAAATGTTTTTTGTCTCCTCCTCCTCCTCTTCTTATTTTTTAAAATGTCTTGTTGGTTCAGAGAGATGGCTCACACAATAAAGGTACTTACTGTCTGGGTTCAATTCTGGAAATCCCATGGTGGAAGGAGAGAAACCCCTCCCACAAGCTGTCCTTTGAACTCCATATATGCATAATGGGATATATACATCCACACATTCACAAACACAAACAAAGAGGAAAAATGAAACAAGGAAAATACTTTGTACACTGAATTTTTATAGACGATGCACAAACATAAAAAATTAATCTCAGCTGGGAAGAAGAGAGGGGGAGAAAAGGAAGAGAGAGTAGGTCATGGGGGAACAGGAAGCATGAGGAGGGGTACAGTTGGGGGAGAACAGGATGGGAAATACCATAAAAGAGGGAGCCATAGGTTAGAAGACAGATCTGGCACCAGTTAGACCTCTAGTGATCTAAAGGGATGACACCAACTGGCAAGCTAAGCAATAGTGGAGGGACCACCTTAAATGCCCATTCCTGATAATGAACTTGACATCTACATGCTATCCTAGAACCTTCATCCAGTGACTGATGGAAGCAGAGGCAAACACCATCAGTTAAACACTGAACTGAACCCATGGAACCCAGTGACAGAGAGAGAGGAACCCATGAGCAAATTGGCAAAGAATGGGCTGGCAAAACCAGCAGAGACAGCTGATCTGAACAAGGGGGAGCTTTTGGACCCTAGACCGACAGCTGGGAGGCCAGCATGGGGCTGATCCAGACCCCATGAGTCTGAAAGTCAGTGAGGAGGCCTGGGCAACATATGTGGCCCTGGGCAGTTGATCAGTGTTAATCCCTGGCATACAAACGGACTTCGTGTGTCCATAACACAAAGAGGGATGCTCTCTCAGCCTGGACTCTTAGGGGAGTGCCTGGACCCTGCCCTGAGTGAAATGACAGACTCTAGATATCCCCTATGTGGAAGGAAGTGGGGATAGGGTGGGAGGCTGGAAAGGGGGTAGAGGGGTGTGGGAGGAGGGGAGGGAGAGGGAACTGGGATTGACATGTGAAATAAGCTATTTAAAATTAAAGTAATAAAAAAATTAATCTCCAGGGAGACTGGAAATGTCAACTTTAGTTAGGCTTTAAGCTTTAGAAAGCAGAGTGAAAAAGCATACCAGAGAATCAATAATTATTCTCGTTTCAATACTTCCGGGGGCTAGAAGACAGGGAAAGGCATAGTTATGTGGGCAGAGGTGTGATTTTCTCACACTTTACAAGTTTATCAGAAACTCCATACACTACAAGTCAAGGGAGAAGAGGAGGTGAAAGATTCCTGTTTTGAGACAGTGTGGCTAGGTTTTAGGAGGACTGATTTGCTTCTGGAGGTGTGTTACCTATTCCTTAGGTCATCAGCCAAAAAGTATTCTTTATATTCTTAACTTGGATGAGATGTTGCAGGAATGACTTGGCTTATCCAGGGGTGGGGTCCCTGTAAAGCAGCTCCGGCTGCAGTGGATGAATACGTAGCACATGCATACAGACAGCACTACTCAGACTCGGTGTGCTACTGAAGAGAAGAGGATGAGCATGGGGACTTGTGGGACACTGAGAAGAGGAGGTAGGAGGAAACAGTGGCACTACAGTAATTTAGTTGTATACACATATGGATTTCTCAAAAATATTAAAAAATAGAGACAAATATGGCTAAACATATGTTTAGCACTACAGAACATCTATAACAGATGTGCTTTATGATTTAGGTACATTCATTTATTTTTTATTCATTAACAATACTTTATTTATATTTACATTCTCCTTTTTTTTATACATCTATTTATTTTACATCCTGGCTGTAGCCTTCCCCACATCTTTATCTCCTAGTCTCTCTCTTCCCCATTCCACCCCAAATCCCTTCCTCTTCTCTATCCATGGAAGGGCTGGTATCCTATGAGTATCAATACAACATGGCATATCAAACTGTAGGAAGATTAAGCACCTCCTCATGTGTTAAGATGGGAAAAATGACCCAGTATGAGAAGTAGGACTCAAAACGTCAGTAAAAGAGTTGAAGCCCTGTTCCTGCCACTAGGAGTTCCACAAGAGCTTCAAGCTACACAACTGCAACATATATGCAGAGGGCCTAGTCAGTCTCATGAAGGCTCCCTGAATGCCCCTTCAGTCTCTACAAGCCCCTATGAGCTCATGTTAGTTGACTGTGTGAGCCTTCCTGGCCTGTCCTTGACCCCTCTAACTCCTACACTCCTTTCTCTTTCTCCTCTGCAGGATTCATGAACTCCACTTAATGTTTGCCTGTGGGTCTCTGCATCTGCCTCCATCAGTTGCTGGATGATGCCTTGCTGATGACAATTGGGCTGGGCACCAATCTGGCCACAGGAGAAGACCAGGTCAGGCTACTTATGCACTATTGTTAGGCGTCTAAACTGGGATCCTCCCCACTTGAGGAGTTTAGAATTATAATTCTGGCCTTTCAAAGTCTAAGCACACATTTGGACACTAAGCTTAGTCCTCAATCCTGACTTAAATTATTTATGTTTAAAAATAATAGAGAGAATGATGTTTCCTTACACATTTTCTACTCGCACACGTTGATAATCAGAAAGTATAGCACCTACTGAAACCCCTTCTATTTCTTCTTTTTCCTGAAAATAAAAGGAAAACATAAAAATTAAAAAAATAGGCATGTGGTTTGTATCATACTCTGAAAATTACACATGAACTGCATATTATCTAAGAAGCCACCTTCAAATCAAAGCAACTTCCTACAAACACACATTTAGGAAAATTATCTGTATGTACATTGCAATCATTCTCCCATGGCAAGAAAGTAATTATTCCTTACTTAATTTTAACTACAAACTTACTTTCGTAGAAAAAGAAAAGAATTAGAAGCAGTTCCAAATATTTTTACATTTATATACTTAATGACACTAAAACTCTACCAAAGACAATATTTTCCTGAACTGAATAATTTCTAAAATTTGCACAATAGTTCCAACAGATGTGCTACACAATGGTTTCTAATCTATACCCTAGAAAAAGATGAGCAGTACAGAGGCATCTAGAATGCAGAAAACTTTGAGGCACTGCCTAGTATCAAACAGTACACAGATAATTTTAGCATATATAGAAGAAATGGATTCTCATCAATACAGTCACAAGTGAGAATACCAGCATGGTTCAATGGGTTAAGAACTTTGTCCAACATACTCATGAATGAACTGAAGGAGAATGTAAAGTCACATATGATCATGTTTGCAGATGGCCCAAGGCTAGGATTGATCAAGAGGGAAAGAAGATAAATCAAGTATAAAGACTGATACGGACAACTTAGTTATTTAAAAGACTAGGTCTAAAATGAGACTTAATGAAAAGAAGTACAAAATACTTAACCATGGGAGGAACAATACACAACATAGATACGAACCATGGAAATGTCATCTATGATACAGATATGAAGAGAGTGAATCAGTGTAATTACTAATATGTTCTGAGTAGAAATTCTCTGAATACCTGTAAGAGAAAATCCATCTTAAAATAAAAACTGGTAGAAGAAACGTCTTCATTGGTAATACATTTGTTTACCAACCACGGTAACTCAACAGGAGAAGTAATAGTATTTAAGAGAAGACAAATCATGCTCCCAGGCACAATGAAATAATCCTGACATGCTGAAATAAGAGTGTGTCCTAAAAGGATACCATAGTAAATAAAGAATTACACAACAGGAATTTTTCCTGCCTTTGGAAAATTTAAAATATACCCACTAAAATGATGGAAAAATATCTTCCCAAAACTGTCCCAAAATAAAATGATTATTTCTGCCAGATAACATCTTAGGAAAGAGGTATTTACATTATTTCCCCTATCAGTAATTTTGTGAGGATTTTAGGCTTTCTTTAATCTCCCTAAATATTTCTTTTCATAAAAATCATAGTATTTTTTCAGAAAAAAATCAAGGCATAGATCATATAGTAATGAAGGTAGAAAAAAATCAATATTTTAGTTCTCTTCCTGTTATGTATCTCTGAAGTTCTAACCTAATAAATTATGAAGCACTGAATTATATATACATATACATATATGTATATCTTATATATATCTTATATGCATATTTATGTGCATGTATATCTATTGCTCTGTTGATTATGGAACAAAGACAAGGCACAGGCATAGGCAAGAGGTTTCTCTAAACAACTTCAATAACAGAAGAAAACCCCCAAGAACTGGTAAATAAAATTGCATGAAATTAAAAGGCTTTGTGCAGATAGGGAGAGCACCAACAGCGAAAAGTCATCATACAGAATGGAAGACAAACTTTGTCAGGTATTTCCTAGACAAGGAACTAATATCTACAATATATTAAGAACTGCAAAAATCAAGTTCAGTTCATGGCCATATCTGGAAGCCAACTGAGAGCTAATTTCTGGAGGATTTCTTTTAGCAACTCATAAAATAAGGAACAAAGTGTACATGTATTTAAAATGCATATTCAGAGGGCTGGAGCAATGGCTCCTCAGTTTAGAGTTAGACCTTCAACATGAAAATTTTGTGGTGGCATAATTAAACCTAAAATATTATCCAAAGAAGATGAGGCTGTACTTGCACACAGAATACAAGTTTAGTGATCAAGGAGATGAAGAGTACTATGTGTGAATAGTCATCAAATGCTATAAACAACAGCATTCAGAAACCAGTCAGAATATTTGTTACTGGTATACAGGAAGGTCATTGATTTTTGATCAGATTCTATTGCTAAAGATATGACACACAGAAATAATTCCTCCCTGCTGACCAGGTTAGATACTACTGTAAGATGTAGTACAGTCTGCTGGGGAAGACCTACTAAGAAATCAGAAAGCATTATACAGAATAGTGTGAATGTCTTTTTCAGGCTGAACAGTCATTCATCTCTGCATCTGTTGTCTTTCATTGCTAACAAAAGTCTGCCAATTAAGACTGAGAGTAGCAACTGTCTATGATTATAAAGTTAATTATTTAGAAGCAGCCTGTCAATAATAGTAATTATCTTCCTACCCACCGCACTCATCTATGACCTCATCAGTTACAGGTTTTAACTGAGTTTAAAATATCAGGCATTAATAGTCTTAACCAGATGAAAACATATGGACTACAATACAATCCCACTAGGTTAAGATGTGCTTATTTATATAACAGTGGAATGTATGCTACGGGAGCAACCAAGTGTTCCTTGTTTGGCGATGAGGTCTGGTCCACATGAAGAAATCGATTCCAGATCCTACAAACTCAGTTAAAAAGTTATGGCAGGTGCTGGGCAGTGGTGGCTCATGCCTTTAATCCCAGCATTCGGGAGGCAGAGGCAGGTGGATCTCTGAGAGTTGGGGGCCAGCCTGGTCTACAGATTGAGATCCAGGACAGCCTCCAAAACTACAGAAAACCTGTCTTAAAAAACAAAAGAAAGAAAGAAGGAAAGAAAGAAAGAAAGAAAGAAAGAAAGGAGGGAGGGAGGGAAGGAAGGAAGGAAGGAAGGAAGGAAGAATGAAAGAAAGAAAAAACTCATGGCAGGAGAGGTCATAGATGTGTAATGATCAGGGAGCAACATGGAAGGGGAGGGGGAGAAAAGCATAAGATCAGAAGATGATGGAGATACGAAATGCTATCTTGTGGGCATGACACAGCAGTGCAATCATGATCTCACGGCACAGTAGCTGCCAGCAATGGGCCTGCACAAAACTAAAATAAATGATACTATTATGTAACTTATATGACAGCATTATATATCTTAAGTCAGTGAGGTAGGAAATGACAATATTATAACTACACAATTTTAAAAGAATGATGTCAAGATTCCTTACAAATAATTACAGGCTAAAATTAGACACATTTTATAAACTGAGTATTTATGTTTCCAAATGTAATCAACATTGAAAGCTGATGAGGGAGGGTATGGGAAGTGCATTACCACCATAAGACAACAGTGCTGAGTTAGTTCCTAACACATGCTTTCTGAAGAATAATTTCATAATGTGGACCATCCTGGTCTCACAAACCTTGCAATTCTAAGTTTGTATCAAGAAATATAGTCTGGGAAAGTAACTATAAAAAAGTTACTGCAAAGATATTCACCAAATTTATAATATACATATAGTTTTCCATAAATTGGCCCCAGTATTGTGCTGGGAAGTGGACACAAGATAAGTTCCCATCCCTAACCTAGAAGCTATCTCCAAATAATAATCACTTACAAAGGAGAATTTAGATTTCTCTGATGAATCTCACTGGGTGTACAACACTCAAATGTAGGCACCAATCCGAACAGTAAACTGCTAACAGACAATGATCTCAATAGTATTTTTGAAGTTTTTTTTGGTCTCACAATGCTTTGTCTGGGCTTTTTTTGTTTGTTTGTTGTTTTTACGAGACAGGGTTTCTCTGTATTGTTTTCGAGGCTGTCGGTCCAGCCCAGCCTCGAACTCACAGCGATCCGCCTGCCTCTGCCTCCCGAGTGCTGGGATTAAAGGCATAGTGCTGGAGCCGAGCTTAAAAAAAAACCTTAAGCACTGAGGAAATAACTCAATTAAAAATGAGTGTGGTGGTTTGAATGATAATGTCCCCATAGGCTCATATATTTGAATACAATTGTGGTTCATAGTTGATTAAACTGTTTGGGAAGGAGTAGAAAATGTAGTGTTCATGGAGAAGGTGTACTAGGGTTTGGCACTGAGGTTTCAGAAACCCAAGTCATTTCCAATTGTCTTTCTCTCTTCCTCATGCTTTGTGGATCTGATGTAAGCTCTTAGCTACGGCTACAGCACCATGCCTGCCTGCCTGCTGCCATAATCCCTACCAAGACAGTCATAGAGTCACACTTTGAAACCATAAGTTCCAAATAATATATTTTCTTTTATAAGTTGTCTTGGGCATAGTGTCTTATCACAGCAGTATAAAAATAACTAAGTCAATGGAATATGAAACTATACAGAGAGTCCTCAAAGGAAGAAATTCAGTGGTGGAGAAACAATTTAGAAATATAGGCGAGATGCTGAAAAAGCCTTTAACAAAATCCAGCACCCCTTCATGATAAAGTTCCTAGAGAAATCAGGGATTGAACATAATAAAAGCAATATACAGTAAACCAAAGATAACATCAAACTAAATGGAGAGAAACTCAACACAAAATCAGGAACAAGAAAGGCTGTCCACTCTCTCCATATCTTTTCAATATTAACTTGAAGTTCTAGCTAGAGCAATAAGAAAACAAAAGGAGATCAATGGGATGCAAACAGGAAAAGAAGAAGTCAAACTTTCACAATTTGCAGATGATATGATAGTTTACATAAGTGACCCGAAAAACTCTGCAAGCGAACTCCTAGAGCTGATAAACACCTTGAGCAAAGTGGCAGGATACAAGGTTAACTCAAAAAATCAGTGTCCCTATTATATACAGATGATGAAGTGACTGAGAAAGAAATCAGAGAAACATCACCCTTTACAATAGCCATAAACAGCATCAAATATCTGGGGATAATGTTAACCAAAGAAGTGAAAGACCTGTATATCAAGAACTTTGAGTCTCTAAAGAAAGAAATCAAAGAGGCTACCAGAAAATGGAAAGATCTCCCATGCTCTTGGATTGGTAGGATCAACATAATAAAAATGG